CAGATCTTGAAGGGTTTCCTCCATCGACAGCAGTTAAAAGCAGCTGCATCGTAGACTGTCTCTCTCTATCCAACGCTTTTTGCAGCACCAGCTCTGGAGATGGACCACTTTCTGCATCTGTATTCACTTCTAGGCCAAAAAAACGGATTGTTTGACACTTTATATGTGGTAACTGAGTTGCTTCCCACATCTGGATCTTCTGCGCTAAGCAATGGAAATTTGGTTCCCGGTAATGTTAGCTCAGAAATGTGGATATATTGAGCTTTTTCGGCAAAATGAGGGGAGTTGTCGTTGATATCCGATATTTTTACTTCTATACTGTAAACATTCAAAGGATTATTAACAATGGCCTCCAGGCTTACTGTGCAAGTGTGAGTATTGGGGCACAGCTATTCTCTGTCCTTTGTCTCTTTCACATAGAGAACGCCAGTTTTTAAATTCACGGCAAAATTATTCTTAGTTGACGCTGAAACAATCCTCAGCCCGCGCGCTTCTAAATCATCCACTTTCAGATTTAAATCCTTGGCTAGATTTCCAACAAATGTTCCTGGACTCACCTCCTCGGACACTGTATAAACAATCTGCCGCGACATCACATTCCCTGCTAGATAGGAGAGCAAGAATGTAAGGAGAATCCATACAAACGTAGCTTGTTTGAACGATGCCATCGTTTCAGTGATTAAGTAGTTGTTCACAAACAGCGATTTGGTGAAGGTTTATCCAAAGAGAAAAATCTCCTTCTCCAGCAGACAAAATTTATCCCCAACATGCAGGTCTTCAGTGCTTGTGTGTAAGGTGGAGCTCCACGGAAACATGACTTTCTTTGGTTTGTTAGTGGATAGTGCCACCATATGGTCATACTGTACAGGGAAACAAGAGTTTGAATTCTGTCTCGGAATATACAGTATGTATTAATGGCAAAACAATTTCGACAATATATATATATATTTATATAAATATATTTTGAATAGATCTGAATCGTTTTATTTTCCCTGACATATATTTGGGCCCTTTTGTATATTTTATAATCAGTCATTAAAAATAACATTACAAAATGTTCAAAATGTATAAAGAATATGTATTCTAAAATGTATTTAAATAAATATATTTGTATATGTATTTTTGTCAAAATATTTTATCTTTCATAACGCTTTGACTGTTAATACATTATAATTGTATTTTTCTTTCTCGATTACTACCCTAAAACATTTTGAAGCGGTGGACTGATTGATTAGGCTATTTCGACATTAGTACAATTTTAAAATCATTTGAAATTTAAAGGTTTAAACTAAACTGTATTTCGTTAATAATATAGTTTGTCCAGAAGGGAAAAAACACTATACAATTGATTATCATCACTATAATGCACAGTAAAAAATCAAAACAACATTGGACCCCACTTAAAAAAACAAAACAAAAAATAATAATAATAAAAGCATTCTCCAAAATATATTTTTCTGTACCACAGAAGAAACAATGTCATACAAGTAGGAGGAACGACATGAGAGTGAGTAAATGATGACATAATTTGCAGCTTTGGGTCAACTCAATTTATCCTTTTAAGTTTGCTAAATAGCCCCCACTAGTGCCAGTGAGATGTGTGACACTGCCAAAGAGATACTGACATTACACGTTTAAAAGGGCTGCAGAATTTCTCGTTTGCCTATGCCATGGCAAATTAAAACATTGCTAAATCATATGCTTGACGTTGAGGGCACCCTAATTCATGTATTTTCATACATTTTATTTATTCAGTTGTAGGTCAAAACATTATATTACTTGCATTTTTGATGTTTTTAGTGTTAAAAAACTTCTCTAAATCTTTCTTGTACTTAACATGTGGATTTTGCATGATCTTGGACTTCACACATTCATATTCATTACAAGGAATACCTCATTCAGCCAAAACATTTTTCAAGACAACAACAGATTTCTTGTTCAGCAAATTTTCATTTAGTAACACAAAAAATTTAATTTGTTATAAATTGATTAGTCACTACATCTTTCTTCGTACAAAAAAAAAAAGAAGAAGTATAATCATCCTACAAAGCAAAGATATCTAATATAGTTTTAAATGGTTGAACATACTGACAATCAATGAATGAAAAAAGAATGAGCTCTTTACATTACAACGTAAAAAATAACCAATAATGACAAAATAACAACAAAAGTTAAGTCAGCAAACAGCAAAACAAGAACCCTTTAACAGTAACCTGACCAACATTTGAGTGATTCTGTTGGTCAGACAGGGTTGTTAAGTAGAAAATTGCATTTTTGCTAAATTTTTGGATGTTCATTTTTTAAATTTGTTTAGCTCTGTCTGCTTCACTCAACATAGTGAGGACCCAGTTTAAATAAAAGAAGCAAACACACATGCAGGGAACTCGAGATGACTTACAGCACATTACAAAATACAGTGTTAAATTCATTACATTTAAAACAACTTATTTGTGATAATGATAATAATAATAATAATAATAATAATAATAATAATAAAAGTTTTATAGTCAGAAACAACATCCAGCACTGGTACATATAAAAGACAAGAGATTAAGACAATATAACACTGAACTGATAATCATGAGATGGAAATGTTTTACAGATGTTGGATGTGGTTTTGCCTTTTAGGACAGTGCACTCTACATGAAAATGTAAAACATTTATTTTTTACTCTAAATTCTATGATGTTTTGGAGATTCATGTGGTTTTATATTATTCACAAAGAAAACAAATGAGCAAAGAATACTGAATTTCATGTCTGTTACTTTTAGGAAGTGACTTTGCGTGTTACAGAAGCCACAGACCAGCTTTAGCGTGCCTGTGGTCAGATACAGAACTGCAAACTGCACTGTCAGGCTATGCGTGCTAAATAGCCCCTACTAGTGGCAGAAATATGTATAACACAAATGCATGCATTACACCGTATCAGCAGAATTCCCCTTCTGTTCATTCAACACCATATCAGAATTCATAAGGTGTACATATCCTTGAACTGTAACTGTAATAAATACACAGACAAATTGTAGAAGCACACTTCAAAACACATTATAAATAGATGGCTTATTGGGTATTTTAATCATTTTAATATATTTTAAGAACATTATGTATATTTTATTACTATCCCTTCAATTAGAAATTTGATGCAATATCTATTGTACAGTACTCATTTGTATGTGAATCTGCATATGTGTTTCTAAAAGAAAAGGATAAAGTGAGATAGAAGAAATAGGCAGTTGGACAGTATGTGATGGGGAGCTAGGTTAAAAAAGGTGTGCTTCTCAAAATCTGAAGAGATGGAGGTGTTGTCATGGCAACTGTTTCTATGGAGACAGTGCTGCCTAGGTCAGCACCAATGAAGCAGTGTGTTTTGTCATTATGTGACCATATATCCTCACACACTCTCACAATACAAACACCTCAGAAATATACTGTAAAAGCTTTTATTCACATTGCAGTATTTACAAGCAAAGGGCAAATCATAAAGTCCAGTAAGGATACAAAGGCATTGTGTACTGTTTGCATAAGGACATTTCGCAAGTAAGGCAACAGAAATACAAATACTGAAATGAGATGAAATTGTGACGTGTATGCTGATAGTATTAACATACTGAACTTCATTCCATTTTTTGTCATTTAAAATTTTCAGGCACACTTTTCTCTGCCCTAAAGCAAACAGCTAAAAGGCACAGCATTTTACTTGTGTCATGTATCTCTAAATTCTTAAATATGCTGCCAGGTACTCCAGTTTGAGCTGTCACCTTTCAGAAAGTAAGTTAAACTGAATTACATGGCTGTCAATACTAATGGCAACTTGTAGTATCATTCTGTGTCCTGGTATCCGGATGTGTCAATCTAAATACAAATCACATGTTTCAAGTGACCTATATTGCTGTTTTCTCTCTCTCTCTCTCTTTCTCCTTGTTCCTCCTACACCACTTTTCTTGCACTATTGTCATTCCTTTCCACCTTCCCACGAAGCTGAAACATTGTTTTAATACAAGTAAAGGAATATAGTTTTGATTTCTGTCATGACATAGATCTACAAAATGCTATAATGAAATTGTTGAATATATCACCACAAATAATACATGCTTAAAACATTGCACTGTCAACATGTAAGAAGCAGCATTAAATACATTAACAAGCATTTGTATCTCAATTTCAAAATACAAAACAATATAAACCTCAAAAACGTATGTAAACAAGGCCAGAAATGACACTGAATAGCAATTTGATAGTACAATTGTTGATTCTTGTACAAAAAAATATCTATAGGTTTATATTGTTGTCAATGTGGCAAGGTTATTATTCTAGCACTGGCTACATATATCTTCAAAAAGGTAGATTAATACATGTTTTAAATCTTTTTGTTGTTTTTGCACCTAGTACAATAAGTTTGCACTAAATAAATGTGTCATGTCTCCTTGATTTTCAGTAAAATTTTGGCACATCCCTATGGCAGATGCCATACTGATGTACTGGCAACACTTTACAATAAGGTCTTATTAATTAACATTAATTAATGCCATAGCTAACATTAACTAACAATGAGCAAAGACATGTTCTATTGTATTTATTAATTTTTAACATAAGTTCATAAAAATACAACAGTTCATTGCTCAGGTCTATAATATTACTATATTACAGTGATATTAATATAATATAATATAATATAATATAATATAATATAATATAATATAATATAATATAATATAATATAATATAATATAATATAATATAATATAATATAATATAATATAATATAATATAATATATGTTTGCGTTCTCGGAATGCAAAGTTTCTCGAGGGAATGCAAATGTTTTGCACGAGAATGCAAAAAATGTTAACAATTTATTTTTTACTCACACCCCAATTTTACTCCACCACCATGTCCCTTTAGGGGCTCTGTATGATTTTAATATTGAATTAGTATATGTTGCAATTAACATTAACTAAGATTAATAAATGTTTTAGAATTGTTAGTTTATGTTAACTAATGTAGTTAACTAACATGTAAAACCTTTTTGTAAAGTGTCATTCATGTGATTATTACTCTTTGTAGCATTTGTCTAGGATTTCAAATAATGTACTTTTTTAATGCTTTTGAATGTTTTAGGCCATTTATGGTATTTGGTAGACAGGATAAAAATAAACATGAGTCATGTGCACCACATAGCTGGCAACCCAAGTGTTTTGAGGTATAGACAACGCCTGGCTAATTAGATTGTGCTCATCTGATCACAGCTTTCTCATCAGCGTGTTTTAACAATGTAAAAATAGAGCATCATTAATACCAGAACCCTTTAACAGTCTCTTTTCATCTCTTTACCAGCTGTTTTGTAGTTCATAACTTACTAGAACCAGAAAGGTGAAAGTCCAGTTCTTCTTGTAGTCATGAAGTATCACTTCTCTCTTTGCTCTGTAGTAGAGTCTATTTAGAAGTCTTTTAGATACAAAAAGTCCATCTTGTTTGTCTTAGCCATGCAAAGTCATGCTCAATGTCGTTACAAGTGGCTGATATACAGTTGTTAGACCCAGCCTTAAATCGCCACAAAGCCGCACTGAATGTCTCTCTCTCTGACACAATGTTGGTCTTGAAAGTCAATTGAAAGTTAATTCTTCTATTAGCCAAAAAGGCAACACGAAGAGCAGGAAGCTGGAGAAGAAGTGATGGTCAAAACAACTCAATAGAAGTAACTGAATAATCTCTGAGTTGTGTGTTTCTTTATGCCTAATCTGACACAAGCATTGCAAGAGCATGGAAAATAATAAGTAATATAAATTCAATGATTAATATTATAAATGAAAACAAAATATGAAAGAATATTAAAATGCTCTCTTGAAGCTACACACAGAGGTGTTTGAAAGCTTTGATTCTTCACAGTCTTGAATCGAATGAAACCCTGAAAAATGGTAAAACAGAAGATCAATCTGTCTGTCACGGACAGTGAGCCTGGTGGGGAAGGTTGTAATCCATCAGTCAGCTTGTCCAGATCATGGTAAATCACTGCTTGACTCCTGTCAATAGACAGAAACATCATTAATCAAACAGAGTCACGACTGTAGTCATTCTGAGCACAGTTGACATTTTGCATTTTATCAGTTTATGCACTCTCTAGAAATCAAAACTATGACCTTGCCATTGCTAGTGCCATGCTCTACTGTTTGAGCTCTATAGCTTTTAAATAGATTCATTTTTATGTTACATGTTGTATATTAGTTTTTCATTTAGAAAATTAGAATGAAAAAAGAATAGCATGACAGGGTGTTCTTATACATTCTTATACACTCTGGGTGTTCTTATTCTTATTTTTTATTTTTTTAATCTCTGCCTATCTCTACTGTTTGTTAATTATTTCATCTGCAACTATCCATGCCTTCTGTTTACCCTTTAAATGCTTACTTCCTCACTTTACCCATAAAGCTTCGTTTTTTTCTGGCCAAAATATATTTCAAATATATATGTTGTAAACAGCACAGAGTAAGATTTTTGTATTATTATTTTTAAATAGAAAATGCAGTTCGCTTTAAACCTTCAGTGCTTTTAAACCTTCAAATATATTGCAAAATGTACTTCAGTCAGTGGGCGAGAAAATATATTTCCAATCATACAAATAGGTAACTGCAAATATATTTTGGACAACATAAATGTATTTAAATTGAAAAGATATTTATATAAAGACCAAAATATATAACAAAAATATGTATGTAAAAATATATATTTAAAAAGTTATGTCAGCAATATTTATATTTTGTAAATTTGAAAATGTATGTTATGATATCACAAATATGTCTGAAATATAAAAAAATATATAAGTTAATTTATTTAGAGACAGCACAGGAAGCACTCTAAGACAGATTTGAGACCACTTTTACTTTACATTACTGTTATTTTACTTTGATTATTTCATATCAGAAAAAGAGAATCATCATATCACATCAATGCTGCAAAAAGGTGCAAAATTCTCACTTGCAATGCTTCTGTCTCACTCTTCCTTTACTTCACACCCCAGTGCTTATCATACTCAGTCTCCCACTCACATCCAAATTTAGACACATACTGGTGCATTAACACTAGCGGTTCAACTTTGTATATTATAAATATGAAAACAAAGATCTGTTTTGTTACTGTTTATTATTTACAGTAGACATTTTTTATTTATTTTAATCAACAGGCCATTTTTAGTGGATGTCTGAAATCAGGTTTACACTCATCACATTAACTATGAAAGTATCACTAAAGTTTGAGAATCGGTAAGTGTCCAGATACTTAATCTGAACTGTATATGCATTATTTTATAATTTCAAACCAGATAAACCTATTTTTGTGAAATGTTTTGCTTAAAAGGTGTTCTTGAGCTTTGTTTATTTATGTTTGGTTATGTAATGCAATCACACCAGTGTTGCCAACTGCTTTCAATTGAAAGTAGCTAAAACTGATAGCTAAATGTCACTAGATGACATCACAATGGCAAATTCACTGATCTATATAAAGATGAACGTAGATCAGTGGGCAAGATGAGAACTTAGATAAGGTTTGTCCAAGCAGTTGCTATATTTGTCCCTAAACTTTTGAAAAAAGTCTCAAAAGGGGCAGGGAAGTCGCTAAGTCTATCTACAAAGTAGCTAAATTGGCAACACTGAATCACACACAATACATTTTTGAGTACTTTTTGCAGTCACTGTATATGCATATAAGTACATACAAGTCTAAGTGAATTTACAGTACCTGTAAAGTGGAAGACCTTGAAGCACTGGTCTCAGTCAGTGCAGAAGTTCCTGGGATGCTTGACACAACAAACCCCGCTCCATTTGGAAGGGGCTGCTGCACCACCAACTTGCCTTTTCTAGTCTCTGCCAGAAACAGACTGTACCAGTAGGCATCACTAGAGATGAGAGTAGAGTCAGCAATGGTGGAAGAGTTCCTCTGGCTGATGATGCTGTTCCTACCCTGAGGAGCCGCTTGTGAGGGTTTGGGTTCTTGACATTTCAGCACGATGATCACCAGGATGGTTATGAGCAGAAGAAACAACACCGACCCCAAACCGATCAGCAAATACAGGTTGAGATCAGTAAACAGGTCGTATTCCATAGGCACCTCTGTGGTTTCGGTAAACTGCGTGACCACTTGCTCCACCGTGGAGATCTTGATGGTCACCGTGGCGGAGCGAGGAGGATCTCCATTGTCTCTGGCTATGATGACCAGGCGCTGATGTCTGGGGTCTCTGTAACTGAACATGCGAGTGGTTCGTATCTCACCGTTGTACTGGTCGAGGCTGAATAGCGTGGTGTCGGTGATCTGGAGGAACTGATATGTTATTCGAGAGTTCTGCATGGAGTCGGAATCCAACGCAATGACCTTGGTGACCAGGGATCCTTTATCGCTCGACCTCGGGATTACTTCTTCTATAACAGCACCTTGCGGACACCATGGAGAAACTATGAGCGGCGTGTTGTCGTTTTGGTCCAGGATGATGATGTGTACGGTCATGTTACTGCTAAGAGAAGGAACTCCTGAATCTCTAGCTTCAGTGTGAAACAGAAACTCCTTCTCTCTTTCGTAGTCAAACGTGCGTAATGCGTAGAGGTTGCCGTTCTCGGGATTGATGGAAAACAGCATGGACATTGAAGTGTTGGCGATCTCCTTTTCTATGATGAAGTAAACAATATACTGATTTTCGTGGAAGTCTGGGTCATGGGCCGTTAAGGAGGCGAGCAAAACCCCAGGCTCATTGTTTTCCATTAAATGAATGGTATAGAAGGATTGAGGGAACGTTGGGGCGTTATCGTTGACATCTTGAACTGTAAGACTGATTGTTTCGTTATCAGTCAAAGGTGGGGTTCCTCTGTCGGTCACATAAAGTGTGATATCATAACTGTTTTTGAGCTCACGGTCAAGCGATTCAGTGACTATTAACTCAAAAAAGTCTTCAGATGACTTATTAAGAGCAAATGGTAAAATCTCAGCATTGTGGATGGAAAGAACAACCTTACCATTATCCCCAGAGTCCCTGTCACTCACACTGATGACGGCGATCACTGTTCCTACGGGGTCATTTTCTTTAATCGAACTATGAAAAGATTTTATTGTAATCTCAGGATGGTTATCGTTTAGATCAGTGATGAACACCAAAATTTTACACTGACCAGAAAGTGGATTCACGGCCTTGTCCTTGGCTTCAACGTACATCTCAAAGCTCTTCACTTCTTCAAAGTCAGTCATGTCTTTTACTCTTATTTCTCCACTGCTGGGATCCAACGAGAACTTTTCTTGTGTTTTCTCGGATGTGTATAAAGTGAAGGAGTATATGACCTCTGCATTGACACCCTCATCCAAATCGGTTGCATTCAGCTGCATAATCAGTGTCCCGATTGGTGCATTTTCAATGAGGTCAACCGAGTACACTTGTCGATCAAACTGAGGGGCGTTGTCATTGGTATCCAGCACTTGGATGATAATGCTGGCCGTACCTAAGCGCGCAGGTACGCCGCCGTCCACGGCGGTGAGGGTTAGTGTATGAACGGCTTGTTTTTCTCTGTCTAAACTCGCTTTTAGCACCAGGTCGACGTATTTAGTTCCGTCACTTCCAGACTGGATTTCAATCGTAAACGTGTCGCTGTCACTCAGATAATAGGTCTCGATTGAGTTCTCTCCAACATCTGCATCCACCGCGTTTGTTAAAGAAAATCTCTCTCCGGGTGTTGCTGATTCTGAAATATCGAGCGGTATTCTCTCCCTTCTGAACTGAGGCGCGTTGTCATTGATATCCATAATTTCTAATTCTATATTAAATATGCGTACTGGACTCTCGATTATCACGTCCATCTTGAGGAAGCAAAATGATGATGTTTTGGCCGGGCATAAATACTCCCGGTCAATTTTCTCAGCGATAAACAGTTCTCCAGTGTTTTCGTTTATTTCTAGGTATTTCTTGCTATGGATATAATCCAGCTTTACCTTTCGTTCCAACAGACTGTGAGCGTCAAGGCCCAAATCCGTGGCAATATTTGCGAGCACTGTGCCCACTGGAATTTCTTCAGGGATGGAGTATCGTGTTACAGCCGAGGCGAGACTCCACATCGCGGAGAGGACGACAAAACCGAGCTGCCTTCTCCTCCACGGATCCATTGCAGAGCACATGTCAATGCTTTCACTGTCTTTTACAAGAAATATAGCAGTGTGTTCCAAAACGAATCGAGGTTAGCGGGTGTTTGGATTCTTGAAAACATCCAGCAGAGCATCGCCATAACGCCGTGCCGTGGATCCCGCCCGCTGATCAGATTCAGCTGAGCTTCAGTGCTGCTCTCTCTGCATCCGTCCAACAGAAAGCCAAGCACGGCTGTTCTCGCATCCTCCCCTTAAGGTGAATATCAGTAGCGCAGCGACATCGTGTGAAGATAAAAGTTTGCATGAAAATATATTTTAGGACAAAAAAAAAAAAAAGGGTTATTTGTGAAAGAATAGTATTTCTGCTCTACATTTGAAATTACTTTTGACTTTTTTGCGAAATACCGAAACTCTTTATTAATGTCCTTAATGAAAGTCTTTTTTAATGTATAGTTTGGCTCCAAATGTTGAAAGTAACACAGACACATTTTTGGGCGTCATTCAACAAGAAGGAAGTTCAGCACCACGGACAGATCCACAGATTATTGTCAGATCCACACACATACACACACACACACACACACACACATATATATATATATATATATAATTAAAACGTTAAAACAAAAACAGTGTGAATAGCCCTTAAGCCATGTTGATTTAATGTTGCACATGTATTTCTATTTCTATTCTATCTACTCGCTTTCTTTTTAGTAAAAAAAAAAAAAACCTTCACCGTCTAACACTAACTCTCTCTCTCTATTCTATTTCTAGTCTATGTACTGTTTACTCTTTCTATTTATTATTATTAAAAAAAGCTTGCTATGTGTACTAAAGTATACTATCTGGGACTTGTCACAGCACTCACATATTGTTGCTCTTTTGTTGGTTTGATTGCTTCTGTTGTCCTCATTTGTAAGTTGCTTTGGATAAAGGCATCTTCTAAATAATTAAATGTACATTTTAATTATAAAAAATAAAACCACTTGTAAAGTCATATTTTTGCTCTCCTACTTTTTTTTCATTTTATTCTAACTTTACTTTTTTCTGTCATTGGTATATGTAGCAGAAAGTGTGAAGAGACAAGAGATGCACGGTTTTATGTCATCATGTTCTTAATATTTCTTGTCATTTTAGCACAGCAAGAACCACTGCAGTGGAAAACCTACTTTTTTTTTTTTTAACAAGAAGACAGACTAAAGAGTTACATTAAATAATATTCTTTATTCTGTACATTTTGGTAACGAGAGGGATATAAAACAGGAAAATATAACCTATAGTCTTATACATATGGGTGATTACAATTAAAGCAACCATCTTAATGCTTTCATAAACACTGCAGATAACTGAAAAACAAAAATGCAAAAAATTGAAATGATTATCAGAGTACTTTTAAGTACTGTTGTTGCCAAATAATATAGTTCATAATCCAACTAAAATATACACAACTATATACAGAAAGTGACCTACAGGTGAAACTGGAAAAATCATTTGAAAAAATCATTGGTTATTACCGCGTCCTCTTGATTGTTATTTTGCTTTTTCTTTTTGCCAAAAGTTGAGAATGAGTTGCAGACTTCAATGTCCCCATTGTTTGCCAGTTTGAGTGTACAGAGTGTCGATGGTGTTCCGGGAATGTAAACATTATGTTGATAGTCTGGTGGGGGTTGAATTGAATCCTGTTGATTGTAACGTGTCCATGAACGATTTGGAAAACCTCCACCCTTAGATGAGGTCTTATAGTCTGTTTTAAATGACAAAGAAAAAATGGTTGGATAAACAATTCAGGCAAACCATATATGAAGCTGGTCTTCTTAGGCAAGACAAATATAATGACTTTACCATGCATGTGATTTCCCCAGGTCCAGTACTGCGGGACAGATGTGTAAGCATAGTAGTCTGAGTCCTGAATCAGCCTGCGCTGCAGTGTCCTACCTGTGTTTATTGGAGTATGGCTAGAAAAATAAAAACATGAACACGTCAAATGTTTTGTGCATATGAGAGAGAGTGAGGGGGAGGGAGGACCGAGAGAGTGATAGAAGCTTTAACTTTAATCACCTTTTATATGTATAATTGAGCTGGTTCTTGGCCAGGGTTTGGTCTTTGTTTGCCTGTTTGAGCTGCAAAGGAAACAAAAAAAAGAGTTAAAATATTTACTCCACTTGCACTTCAGAGGTTAAAGAATGTACTACAAACACAATGCCAAGAAGAGAAAAGACCTCAGAATACATCAGAAACAGAAACAGTGACTTTACTAATTAATCACCTTGTTGCAGTACACCTACAATTTGGAGCAATGACAAGAATGCATTTAGTTTATTTTATAATTAATTTATGAACTACGCATTAAGAATTTTAAGGTCTAGTTCACAAAAAAAAAAATATATATATATAGCTCAAAAGGTAGAAAAAAAATGAAACAAACAATATTGTTTGTTTAATAGTTAACCTCACTGTTGTTTAGCAAGTTAATAAAAAAATATTATTTTATTAAATTATGATGTATTATTATTATTATTTACATTATATGTATATATTATTATGGACCATTATATTATATTATATTATAAGCTAGAATAACACAATGAAACAAACAATTATGTTTGTTTAATAATTAATGTAACTGCTGTTCTGAATAATACTATCAAAATAGTACTATTATTATTAATTACATAAATTATATTATTATTAGTTTATTATTGGCCATTAGAATTGGACATTATTATATTAAATTTAATATAATATGTATTAAGAGATTTCATCTAATAATTATTTTAATTACATCAGTAATTATTGATAAATGTATTTAAAACAGAATTGCTATGTTCTGTACCTAATGTATACATACTGTATACATATACTGTTGTTGTTGTTGTCCTTCGTGTAGTTCGTACACTGGCATTTCCAAATATATTTTTTAATGTATTTTTCAATTACATTACAATTTACATGCTATTATTTACATTTTATTATCCTGGGGTGATTAAAGCACAATAAGTATCTGAAGTCTCCATCTAGTGGACAAACTTGAGATCATTTTTGTTGATCACTTACTTCATTTGGAGAGGTCGTTCCATTCCTGGTACCAAGACTGTGGCTGGCTGGACTCCAGGTCAAAGTTTTGTTTTCTATTTCCTTTATATTGTTTCGGGAAGATGTTCCCGTGGGGCTACAAGGCTTGAGGAACATGAAGTCACTTCTAGATGACTCTGGAGTCAGACACATTTTATAGCAGTAGTTTTGACATATTTGGTTGTTCCCGTTTACTTCCACGCATTGCGTGGGTCCCTTTGATCCCGGTGATATGTGAATGTTCAAGTTAGACTTTTTAACGACGTCAGTGGCGGGGTCCTTAGAATAAAATCCGCAGCACGAGCTCCTGTCCTTCAATCTCTTAATTGTAGCCAGGACAATAATAGCCACGAGAAATGTGAATGAAACGGCGCCCAGAGATACGATTAAATACAGCGTGAGGTTTGACCGGTACTGGGGGCTGAGCGCGAGGTCACCAAAATCAGACAAGGATCCTGGCACGCTGTCAACAACTGACAACATGATGGAGGCCGTGGCCGAGAGCGGCGGCTGACCGTTGTCCTTGACCAAAACCACCAGCCTCTGCCTCCTGGGGTCGTTGTCCATCAGGCGGCGAATTGTCCTGATCTCCCCGGTGTACAGAGCAACACTGAACAAACCGAGATCTGTAGCTTGGAGGACTTCATAAAAGAGACGCGAGTTTTGCCCGGCGTCCGCGTCCATGGCGGTGATTTTAGCCACTAGGTACCCGGCATCAGCATATCTGGGGACAACTACAACCGCCGCGGTGTCATTCTCGGGCAACGGAGATACAACGACCGGAGGGTTGTCGTTCTGGTCCAAAACAAACACGTTGACTGTTACGTTCGCGCGGAGAGGCGGAAAACCAGCATCTTCGGCTTGAACCACGATCTGAAAGTTTCTGAGCTGCTCGTGGTCAAAAGAGCGCAGTGCGTAAATGTTGCCGTTATCGGAGTTGATGGACACGTATGTGGACACCGGCATTCCATGGATGTCGTTTTCCAGAATAGAGTAGGATAAGTAGGAATTCTGATCCGCGTCTGTGTCTTGAGCGGTGATGGTGCAAGTCGAGGCTCCTGGCGCGTTGTTTTCGGTCAGGTAGACCGTGTAGGAGGGCTGTTTGAAACGCGGCGCGTTATCGTTGATGTCCGACACTTGCACTAAAATTGTTTTCCTAGTAAAAAGCGGCGGTGAGCCCATATCACGCGCCGTGAGAGTGATGTTGTACTCTGAAATGGATTCTCTGTCCAGAGAATCACACGTAACTAACGTGTAATAGTTTTTAAAAGAGGAATGTAGCTGAAAGGGAACGTGATGAGGAATTACACAATCAACATTTCCGTTTTCTCCAGAATCTTTATCCATTACGCTAATGACTGCTATCACTGTGCCAGGTTGCGCGATGTAAGAATCACTTCTGGAAGATTGTCGTTGACGTCTATAATGTTAACCATAACTTTGCAGTGCACCGCCACCGCTGACGGTCCCTCGTCTTTGGCTTGTACGTAAACCTCATGCATCCGTGCCTTTTCATAATCTATAAGTCCTTTTACTTTGATTTCTCCAGTGCGGGGATCCACGCTGAACAGCTCGCGCACTCTCATTGAAGCGTGGCCGCTAAAAGAGTACGTGATTTCTCCATTGGGTCCTTCATCTAGATCAGTGGAGTTTAGTTTTATAACGACTGTGCCTCTCGGCGCATTTTCTGCCAGCCTCACTTTATAAAAGTTCTGATCGAACACAGGCGCGTTGTCGTTGGCATCCAGCACCGTTATGTTTATTTGCGCAGTGCCCGATCTCTCTGGCGAGCCTCCGTCCACCGCTGTAAGAACCATCAGGTGAGTCTTCCGCTGCTCCCTGTCCAGCGGACTTTCGAGGATCAGTCCTGCGAATTTACTGCCGTCGCTGCGCGTCTGGACATCCAGGACAAAGTGTTCGTTTACACTCAGCAGATACGAGCGCAGAGAGTTGTCACCGACGTCCAGGTCCTGTGCGCTTTCCAGTGGGAAGCGCGATCCAGGAGCGGCCGATTCGGAGATATCCAGGTTAAATTCACTCCATGGAAAAACCGGAGTGTTGTCGTTGACATCTAGTATTTCAACTTCCACTCTATACAATTCTAATGGGTTTTCCATCACAACTTGGAGATGGAATGAACAATATGGATTTTGTTCGCACAACTCTTCTCGATCAATTCTTTCATTGACAAATAAAACCCCGTTTTCTAAATTCACCTCCAAATATGGCCGTTTCGCCCCTGAGACTATTCTAAATCGTC